ACCCAGGCTGGAGTGCAGTGGCATGATCTCGGCTCACTGCAGCCTCTGCCTCCAGGTTCCAGCGATTATCCTGCCTCAGCCTCCCAGGTAGCTGGGATTACAGGCACATGCCACTATGTCCAGCTAATTTTCTATTTTTAGTAGAGATGGGATTTCACCATGTTGGCCAGGCTGGTCTCGAACTCCTGACTTCAGGTGATCCACCTGCCTCGGCCTCCCAAAGTTGTAGAATTACAGGCATGAGTCACTGCGCCCAGCCAGGCATGGGCTTTTTAAGCACACAGACCTGCATTCAAATTGTGGCTCCTTCTGATTGTGTCAACCTGTATGAGTTACCTGTTAGTTTTTTTAAATTTTTCTTTCTTCATCTGCAAAATGGCCTTAGTGAGAATGAAAAAGGATATACAAATAAAATTTCATTTAAAATGAAATAATGTATGGACAGCAGCTTATCTTGAGGACTAGGAAACTATAGAGTTAAGACCAATCTTAAAAGGAATTTAATAGAAATGTATAACTTCACCATGTAGTCATTGTTAACAAACCCTTAAAAAGGGCCATTAGGTTTGGTTGTGGGGCAGTTCAACAAGCATCTGCCTTCTTGAGTTCAAGCAATTTTCCTACTGCAGCCTCCCAAGTAGCTGGGACTACAGGTGTGTGCCACCAAGCCCAGCTAATTTTTGTATTTTTTGGTGGACACAGGGTTTCACCATGTTATCCAGACTGGTCTCAAACTCCTGACTTCCAAATGATCTACCTACCTCAGCCTCCCAAAGTGCTGGGATTACAGGCATGAACCGCTGTGCCTGGCCAGCAAACCTTTTCTATAAAAGGCTATGTAAGGTTTTGTGAAACATATCGCCTCTATTGTAGCTATTCACTCTGCTGTTTTAGGGCAAAAGTAGCCATAGTCATTACATAAAAGAATGGGCATGGGTGTGTTCAAGTAAAACTCTATTTACAAAAATAGATGGCAGGCCAGCTTTGGCCCATGGGTCCCCAAACTGTGCTGAGCCTAGTCTTCCACAAGCTATGAATGTTTTTTATATTTGTAAAGGGTTGTTTAAAAAGAGGATGTAACAGAGACCACATGAGACAAAAAAAGCCTAAAATACTTTATTTGTAGTTCTTTACAGAAAGGTTTTTGCTAACTTTTGGGTTGGGGAATGAGTGGTGGTTGAAAAAGAAGTAGACTTCAGTACTGAAAGTTGACAGCAAAGAAAGAAAAACAAGATGACAAGTAGTCTTGGATCCACAAAGGATCCTGGTGGAAAGTATAGGAAATTCTGTGTGCAATACTGACGTACTTATCCATACCCTATGCCAACAATGACTGGCCTGCTAATTAACTATTCTGTTTTTATGGATTTTCCATAAAGTGCTGTTTTAGCAGCAAACAGAGGGGTAAACTCATAAATAATAAAAAGCTAAATACTGTTAGAAATCTTCTCTTATATGAAAGAAATTAACTTTCCATTATAGCTAAGTGTTATCAGACTTTTTACTCCTGGTATGTATATAGCTTTGATTTTATAACATCCTGCTAATTTTTGTTCTTACAGAAATACACTTTCGGGAAATGGCCTCTAAATCCTGGCTGAATATTTTAATCTTCCTCTGTGGATCAGCAATAGGATTTCTTTTATGTTCTCAGCTATTTAGTATTTTGTTGGGAGAACAGGGTGACACCCAGCCTAATGTTCTTCATAATGATCCTCATGCGAGGCATTCAGATGATAATGGAGAGAATCATCTAGAAGGACAAATGAACTTCAATGCAGATTCTAACCAACATAAAGGTATGGTTTACTTTATTAAGGAATAAACATCAGCAGTACTTTAGTCTAAAGTTCATCATATCCCTGTCCATATCTGCTAATTAAAATGAGCTATATATTCCAGATGTTAAATAACAATTATTGGTTTGCCTCAAGAGAAGGGAGTTGCTAAAACCCGGATTTATTTAGGAAATAAGATATTAATTTTGAATTTGTTTTTAAGTAGAAATGGTTCAGAAACCATGATTTGGGGAAGGGCATAACTATTCAAATTAGATTTGTTTTTGAAAATGTTTTTCTAGGTCCAATTAGTTGAGTTCTTTGTGCCCCTTGTGTTGGTTTTCTCCAAGTTTCTGTCCTTTAGCTATTTGTCCATGTGACATCATCAACCCTCATAATTTTAATTTCCATTTATTTCCTGCTGTCTTTAGCCCAGTTCCAGACATTGTGAGAAGACATTAACACAGTGCAAAGATTTCTGCAAAATTGGTTTATTTGACAGAAAGTAATATAAGTAGCTTGAAAACAGTTGGAATTATGGGATGCAGAGGGTTCACTATTCATTTGTTTCTATTCTCTTCGCGCTAGTAAATTCTTCACTACCTCTCAAGCATATGCTGAAGGTTGAGGTTTCAAAGCCTGGTTCAGTTTTATCAACTAGCAAGCACATGCATACTATGACAAAGTATGTCGTGTTTTATGATTGTTTATATAACAGTAATTCATCTCTGAGCAGGTGTTCTGTGTTGTTACGGAACAGTTTGGTCACCGTGTATTTGCCCTGTAGCATAGCTACATGTCTTTAGATGATCAATTGGAGCCAAGCTTCCCTACTAACAGTAAGCCGTACTAGGCCTCACTACAGGCACATGTATTAGATGGATACTTGTCCAGCTCAGTGGCCCACAAAATGTGGGATATGCTAAAAGTTTGTCTACTCCCTTCAGACTCAACATGTGTAAATTAAGTCTCCTTTTCTTTTCCTTCCTACTCCTGGAAGTTGCTCTTCTTCCTCTATTCTTTATTTTATATAGCTCATTACTATCTCTCTATGCCAGAAACTATGAAATCATGATAGGTGCTTGCCTTCACATGCTAGCCAATCCCATATGTTGGTACATTCTAACAATGCTACTACCATTTTTCATCTCTTTTCCTCTCAGTCCACAGTGCATTTCCCCTGATTCAGGCCTGCAGCTATACTTATGTACCTGCACTCAACCAAACTTCATCATTCCTTTTGGTGAACTTATAACCTATTTTCTGCATCATCTGTTTATTTTTTCTAGTATTGCTTTATCTTTCTATTCTTTGTTCTACCCAGGTCCCCATGTACTGCTCTATAGGGTTTATTAGCCACTACTTTATTTTCCTTCAGCAGCTGAACCCTTTGTTCATAATATTAACATCTCTTAGTATTTAGCAGTTACTGGTTTGTGTGTCAGGCTCTCTGAATGGACTGAATTCCTCTGCAGCAGGAAATGTGTCTTACTCATTTTTTTCATCTCCTATGCCAGCCCATGCCCAGTACAAAGTAATTCATGAATGAAAAATTATTTATCAAGTTCAGTAGTGAGGACAAAACTGCCTTGCCTGAGTGAAACAGACTGGGGATTCTTACCATTCCTATCCATTCAGGGTTTGGTATATATGTGTAGCCAAGAAATTGGGCTTCTCAAGGATGTGAGATGTCAATGCTTTCTGACTGAAAGTAGGGTGATTTTGTCTGTTTTTGTCCTTCTGGATTGTGAATCTTGTTATTCAGAGGGACATGAGAATACTTTTATATTCTACCCAGCTTTTCCCATTATTCCCCCTCAACTGGTTAACTAATTGTTAATTTCTCATGGGCCTAAGCTTCTGTAATTTACTGTTTGACCTTAATTTTAAGCACATGCTTCATCAGGATACTGCCCAGAACATCACTATTCAAAGTTGCTTCATAGACCCATTCTGATCTATAACTAGAGAATGTTTGCTTATTTGGGAGTAAGCAGAAACTTTTATTGTAATTAATTTTGCCTGAAGCTAAAAATAAAACTTTAGGGCTTGTGTTTTATATTTCTTTTAGTTTTATTTTTCTCATAATTCATTTTTATCATATTTACACAATTGTAGACCTCTGTTAGAAAAAAAAATTGGCCTTTCACCACAGATAGCTTGAGAAGTACTCATCTAAAATCTCACAATTGAGCTCTTCCTCTACACCAGTGCTACTCAAAATGTGGTCCTGGCCTGACAGTTTGTAAACTGCCTACCTAAGATAATGAGCTTACACTAGGATGTAAATTAAGTCCCTAAGCTTACTGCTTAGTTAAGTGGACATTTTGTTTGGCTGGTTGGTTCTGATAGTAGGTCTTTTTCAGAGTAATGTGTTGCTTTATATTCCGGTATAAGCTCCTTATTTCTTTGCAAACCAGTAGTTTAAAGAACACTGCTCTAGCCAGTCTTGCGATTCTCAAGTCTACCATTGTGTTCTGTTTCTGACTGGCAGATTTGCGTTTTGGAATAAGGTATGTTACTATCAGGAAGGAATCTCAAACTCCTGTGCTTTGAACTGTCACCACTTCAGAGTACTTGTAGAAATTCTTAATAGTGGATTCTTGTGAACTTCAAAAATGAACTGCCACTTCAGCAGCATGTCTTTCCTGCTCTTCAGAAACTCATTCAGAGCAGTGAGAAATTTCTGTCAATAATCTGTTGAAAACCAGCTGAAGCTTTCTTATATGAAATGCCAAGCAGAGACTATTTAAGGCAGCACTTAAAATGCCTATGAAGCACCAGGAGAACTTACTAAAATGCTGATTCCGATTCAGTAGGTCTGGGATGGGGCCTAGGAGTATGTATTTCTAACAAGCTTCCGGTGATGCTGCTGCTTTCAATCAGTAAACCACAGTTCAAGAAGTAAGAATTTAAATCATCATGTCGACTCTTATTAGCTCCAGTGATGTTCTGGACAACATTGACAGAAAACCAATAAATCAGAGTGTCAGTTCACATTAGGTTGAGTTTTGCTTTCCTTTGGCTAAATCACTAATAGAGGGATATATAGGGCTTTTGAAATTAAGAAAATGCTTTCTTCAATATAATTTATTAATATTTGGATTTTACATTTATGTAAATAACTTTTTTAAATGTTTTGTTTAATAGATGAGAACACAGACATCGCTGAAAACCTCTATCAGAAAGTTAAAATTCTTTGCTGGGTTATGACAGGCCCTCAAAACCTAGAGAAAAAGGCCAAACATGTCAAAGCTACATGGGCCCAGCGTTGTAACAAAGTGTTGTTTATGAGCTCAGAAGAAAATAAAGACTTCCCTGCTGTGGGATTGAAAACCAAAGAAGGCAGAGATCAACTATATTGGAAAACAATTAAAGCTTTTCAGTATGTTCATGAACATTATTTAGAAGATGCTGATTGGTTTTTGAAAGCAGATGACGACACATATGTCATACTAGACAATTTGAGATGGCTTCTTGCAAAATATGACCCTAAAGAACCCATTTACTTTGGGAGAAGATTTAAGCCCTATGTAAAGCAGGGCTACATGAGTGGAGGAGCAGGATATGTACTAAGCAAAGAAGCCTTGAAGAGATTTGTTGATGCATTTAAAACAGACAAGTGTACACATACTTCCTCCATTGAAGACTTAGCACTGGGGAAATGCATGGAAATTATAAATGTACAAGCAGGAGATTCCAGAGATACTACTGGAAAAGAAACTTTTCATCCCTTTGTGCCAGAACACCATTTAATTAAAGGTTATCTACCTAGAACCTTTTGGTACTGGAATTACAACTATTACCCTCCTATAGAGGTAAGTTTAGAAATTCTATTACTACATTAACATTTGGAATGACTGAATTTTATTGATAAAAACTTGTTAATATGTGTATGTTCTTTAGGACCAATAACTAGGACTCTTTCTTAGCCTTTTTAAATAGAGTAGCAGTATAACAAAATAGATGAGAACAGGGACATCAGCAATAGCCACTTGGCAGATATCTGTTGTTGCTATTATATGCCAGGCACTAAGAATGTGGAAGTAAACAGAGCCAAGTTCCGGTTCTTATGAATCTTACATTCTGGATGAAGAGATGTACAAAAAACAGGCAGACTAGTAAAGATATAAAATGATTTTAGTGATAAGTGCCCTGAAGAAAAATAAGCCAAGTAAGGAGATGGAGAGTGACCCAGAGTGGGGTAGAGTCCTCTGGTTTGGGTGATTAAGGAAGGCCTCTCCAGGAGGTGATTTTTGAGCAGAAACCTGAGTGATATTAAAGAGCAACCTGTGTGAAGATCTGCGTAAAGAGACTTCTAGTCATCATGAGCAAGACGTGAAAAGACTTGGAGGTTCAGAAAGACCTAGAGTCAAATCCTGCTCTCCCACTTAATAGCTGAACGACCTTGGATGGACAGGATTTGTCTGACTTCTGAACCTCAGTTTCCTCATTTGTAAGATGGACATGATGTACCTGTCTTATTTAGTTGTAATTACAATATAGTACAGCCTTTCACACAGTAAGCATTTAATAAGCCTTGGCTCACATTTGACATCTTAGCTTACATTCCTGAGAATTTTATCTAAAGTACATTACTTTATGAAGTATTCCACTTGTAAAGATGTTTCAGAATAATATACCTTGTACTCATCCCCCATCTTTACCAAATTTTAATCTTTTGCCACATTTCAGTTTTTTAAAGAAAAATAATGCTGTAGTTGAGGCCTGTGTACCCTCTCCAATCTCCTTACCTGGAGTTAACCACCGTCATGAATTTAATATTACTCATTACCATGAATGTTTTATATTTGTCCTACATGTTTATGTATCCACAAATAATATATAGTACTGTTTTTCAGATTTTTAAATAAGCATCTTTCTACAGTTTGCCCTTTTCACACAACATTGAGGCTGATCAGTGTTAATTACGTATCTGCTATGTTCACTATTAAATCATTGCTTCAGTAAATAACTGAATGAGACCAGGAATCATGAAACCTAGCTTTTAGACGCAATTCTGTTCATGATTAATAATGCCTTTAGGCAAGTCACTAGTTCTCTGTGCTTACCTCTCTCTGGACCTAGCATATAAATAATACACTTCGTGCTACTCATAAGGCAGCACTTTCAAATCATCATCTGTAACAGTGGTTCTCAACCCAGGGCAATTTTGCCCCCAGAGGACGTTTTGCAAGGTCTGGAGACATTTTTGGTTGTTACAACTAGGAGGTTGCTACTGGCATCTAATGGATAGAAATCCACTACATTATAAACTTACTAGATGATAAATATCCTAAAATGCACAGGATAGCCTCCTACAACAAAGAATTACTCTAGCCCAAAACATCAGCAGTGCCATAGTTCAGAAACCCTGGCCTAGAACTTCTGACCCAAGCTTTAGGTAATCAGCTTTAAAAGGAACTTTTGATAGTCTGTTTTTCTGTTTTAATGAGAGTACTACTTTGCTTTTTTGATGTAAACTTTTCTTAGTATATTCTGACCATTCCAAGATGACTTGACCTTTTCCTTCCTTTCTTCTTTGAGATGGAGTCTCGCACTGTTGCCCGGGCTGGAGTGCAGTGGTGCAATCTTGGCTCACTGCAAGCCTCCCAGGTTCAAGCGACTCTCCTGCCTCAGCCTCCTGAATAACTGGCATTACAGGTGCCCGCCACTACCTTTCCAATATGAAAAATATACCCAAATTCAAGAATATAAACGTAGCAAATACATCCAAATTCATATAAGAATTTACCAAGAGTATCTGATATTGGGTACACATACAATAGTAGCAAGGGGATATCATAATTGTCATTATTTTGTAAACAGCAAAATAGCCTTCCTTCCTTTTGAGAGTACTGTCCACAATTTCTGTTTACAAATGAAGTATACCTAACAATATACTTTATATAAACAAAATATAGTGCATCCTTTATTTACATTGTAGTTGTTTATTAAATGGATGGCAAATTTGTTCTTTCTATAAAAATTTATCCCATTATGTTGACCATAAAACAGAATTCAAAGTACCAAAATTGACCCATCATTCTGACATTGTCTGTTCTCCATCAGGAGATTCTAACATAAACTAAAATTCTATGTTTTTTTTTTTTTTTTTTGAGATGGGGTTTTACTCTTGTTGCCCAGGCTAGAGTGCAATGGCGCGATCTCGGCTCACTGCAACCTCCGCCTCCTGAATTCAAGCAGTTCTCCTGCCTCAGCCCCCTGAGTAGCTGGGATTACAGGCATGCACCACAACACCCTGCTAATTTTTTGTATTTTTAGTAGATACAGGGTTTCTCCATGTTGGTCAGGCTGGTCTCTAACTCCCAACCTCAGGTGATCCACCCACCTCGGCCTCCCAAAGTGCTGGGATTACAGGTGTGAGACACTGCGCCCAGCCCCGAAAATTCTATTGTTATCCATGTATTATTTAATAAGTTGTCTTTCCCCTATTTTTTTTCTATATACTAATTACTAAAAATACAGAAAATTTTTATCTAACAAGTCAGGGTATAAGATATTCTAATTCATATTCCTAAATTTCTTGTTCAGAACTGACTCTTAAGCAATTCTCTTCCCACTCCACCTTCTTAGGAATAGACTTTCCACCAGAGATGTTGCAATGAGTAGATTTAAAATACATGTGTAATTTTTTGCATACATATCTCTCGACATGAAAAACAGACTTTTCTATAGGTCAGAAATGGTCAAATATTATTTTATTTTTCAGTTTTATTTATTCTATCTGAAACATATTAGTACATAATTGAGATAGAGAGCTCCTCATTTTTCCAAATTAACTAATTATTCTAGTACCATTTTTTAATTCATTACTGATTTAAAATACCCTTTTATCATACACTATAGCATTACTTATAGTAGGAGCTATATCTGAAGATTTCAATTCTGTGCCATTGTTCTAATTTGATTTTGGCCCAGCACCATATTGTTTTGAACCTTGTAGCTTTACAGTAGTTTCAAGTTATTCTAAGGGCAAATTAACTTTTTTTTTCTCTCTTTCTTTCCAAGTGTTTTGGCAACTCTCATATCTTTATCTTTGCATATAAACTCATTAATTTAGAGATAACATCTTTGCCCAGGATTTTTTTTAAGTTGCCTTTTAGGTCCTTTGGTCAAGTTTTAGAAACTATTTCCATAGGTATGTAATATTTTTGCTACTGCTCTACTTGTGCTTATTTAAAACTTACCTTTTTACTGGTATATATGAAAACTTCGTTTGGTTTTCTTTTTAAGCATCTTTAAAATCTGACTTTGTAACTGAATTCCTCTTTATTTCTGATGATTCTTCACTTGAGATTCTTGAGTTTTTTGGGTAACTGTAATTGTCTACAAGCTCTTGTTTTCTAATAATGATAGCTTTTTTCTTTTATTGTCGTTTATTGCATAAATGCTTAACAGTAACAGAATCCTGACCATACAGTAAAATACAAATAAATAAGAATAATATAATTAATGCAGTAAATCTTATTTAAAATATTTATTAAAAACTATTACTGGTCTAGTCTTTAAGTTTAATATGCACTGGACAGTATAGTAGCCACTAAGTATATGTGGTCACTGAGCACTTGAAATGTAGTTACTCCAGATTGTAAATATAAAATATACACTTGATTTTAAGAATGGTTTCATTAATCATTTAAAAACTACTACATGCTAAAACAGTATGATGAAAGTTTTTAGTTACATAAAATATATTCAAATAAATTTCACCTATTTCTTCTTACATTTTTAATATCTGTTGAACAGAGTTTAGATAATCACAAGTTGACTTATCTGGTTATTTTTCCTATTTGCCTTTATTCTGATATTTCCTAAAAGTGTAAGAATAGGGTTATCTAAGAATCCACATGTCCAGTATGTGTTTCAAAGGAAAATTCAGAGATAACAGCAGAGAAAATGCAATGGACAGTTTCTTGATAATTTTTACTACACTGTAAGGTATATACTTCCAAACATGAATTAGTAGATTTATTAAAAGTTCAATCAATATGAATCTTCTCTTGGAACTTGCCAGACTGTCTCCCTCATTCTTTACAAAGATGTCAGATGGACCCTGAAGTTTTGTTGGTATCACATGGATGACTCCAGTATTCTCCAGATACCCAATTCTGACTCCAGGTTGACTGTTTAATTTATCTCTTTTTCTATCTTCTTAGTTTTCTTGTTCATTGTATTATTGTTTTATTTTCAACTTTGTTCTCATACCAACTCTATTAGGAATTTATGAGAATTACGTAACTGAACAAAGGTTTAAATCTGACCTACTTACCTGAGGGCCACCTGATACAATTTTTCTGTCAATAATAGCTAACATTTATTGAGCATTTATTTTAAGGAAAGGGTAATGCCAAGCATTTTACACATATTGTCTCCTTTAAATAACCACCTTTTACAGGTGGGGAAATTAAAGCTTATAGAGATTAAATAACTTGCTCAAGGTCATATACTATCCTGCCAAATTTGGGTTCAAACTCAGGTCTAGCTTGAGAGCTTTGCCTCAAATACTGTACTGTTTGGCTTGATATATAGATGAAGTGTATTTGGTTGTAGACACCTAATGGGCAAGGTTTTGAAGTCATTGAATGCTCTATAGGTTCTTTCCAAGTCTGAGTCAAGCAAAAAATTACAGTGAGAAAATGAGGAAGAGAAAGCGGATGTTGGAGAAAGGTTTGTCCTTTGTATAGCTGTTCCTTTGCTTTGAAGAAATCTCAAAAATTTTATCTGCTGAAACACTGAAGAGTGTAAGAGAATATTGTTTCAGTTAGAAATATTGTTTCAGTTAGAACCAATTTCAGTTTTAAATCATTAGGATGTCTCCACAGGTCTAGTAAATGAGATTCCTCTGCTTTACCTTGCCAGCTTTAATGTTTGCATAATTTTAAAATTAGTTTGTCCTTTATAAGTATGTGAATATTATATGCTAGCAATGTGCTGTTTATTAACAATGCCTGTTTCCACTCCTTTTTTAGGGTCCTGGTTGCTGTTCTGATCTTGCAGTTTCTTTTCACTATGTTGATTCTACAACTATGTATGAGTTAGAATACCTCGTTTATCATCTTCGTCCATATGGTTATTTATACAGATATCAACCTACCTTACCTGAAAATATACTAAAGGAAATTAGTCAAACAAACAAAAATGAAGATACAAAAGTGAAGTTAGGAAACCCTTGAAAGAAAACCATGAATGAACAAAGGTAAAATGTCTAGCATTGCACTGAAGAAGGACTTCTGCATTTCTGACAAAGAATACTGGAATCCCAGTGAGGAATTTAAGTGAACATTCCATACAGAAATCTTTCACATGAATGACTATAAACTGAAGCTTTAAATGAGCTGTGAAGTCTGTTAAAATGTGTTTTGATACAGTAATATATATCTATATATATATATGAAGAACTTGTGTTTTTAAAATGGTGGCCAGGTAGAAGAACTAGAAAAGAGATTTTGTTGCCTATTTTTGACCATCTGTATTATTGTTGCTGAGAAACTAAAACAGTTAAATTTGCTAACACTACACTGCATTATGTTAGTAATAAACAGATCTGCCTTAAAGAAAATTTTAGAAAGAAATATTGTCGTTCAGTGTTGTTAATACAGCTCAAGAATTTAGTTTAATTTGCAGTATGATATAAATGATTCAGCCCCTCCCTTCCACACACACATAATTTTTGTCTAATGAAACTTTTGCTGTGATTATTTACAATTGGCAGTATTTCTTCCAGAAGAAGATAAAATAGGACTGGCACTTATCCTGAGGTGCATTAATAAAACCACACTTTAAAATGATCATGGGCCTTGACTATATTATATACTTCATTCTAATTAGTAATCTTTTATGGAATCTCTGTTGTCTGTTTTCTAAATATGTTTAGCCACTCTTGAATACCATTCTCCACTATTAATATTAATTTACTCAAAGCATTCATAGCATTCTGAAACATTTATTTTATAATATTTGCTCCCAAATTTACCCATTGTTAATTATGGGTAACTAATAATAAATTTAATGCTATTTGAGGATGCTTTTCTTATATCAGTGCCACTCTCAGGAATTACTAAGTAACATTTTTAATTGATTATTTTAAACTCTTTCCAACTACATAGTTATGGTTTCTTTAATTCTCATTCCTGTTGAGAGACAAGAACTTGTTTGTGCCTTTCATAACTTGTTTAAAGCAGAATTTTAAATTCACTTTTAGGATCTGAGGTGGCTATTAGTTACCCTAGCAAGATTCTTTTGAATGCAAGATTTTGAGGGGAATAAATTAAAAACAATAGAAAATGCAGAGTGCTTAAACAAAAATGTTGTACATTGAAAGAGTACTTAATTTATAAATAATCTGAAGGTTGATGCTGACTTACTATTTGGGGATAATTGTTTTGCCAATGGATAATTCTAACAATGCAGATTACCTAGTCAAGACTGTCATCAAAAACATTCACAAATGTTTCATTCTATTTTTAGTGACTCTCTGTTTAAAGAGTTTCTGAAAGGAAGGAAAATTATTTTTATTAACTTAAGCAATACTGAGTATGTCAGAATATTTTACAGACTTTCTATGAGATTTTTAATGGTACAAAAGATTTACATTTCCCTTATGTTTATCATTATGCCAATTTGACATGGCTGTCATGCCACTGACTCTGCTGTTTAGCTAAATAATTTCTTTTTTTTTTAAGAAAGGAGTGCGATCTCAGCTCACTGCAACCTCTGCCTCCCGGGTTCAAGCGATTCTCCAGCCTCAGCCTCCGAGTAGCTGGGATTACAGGTGCGTGCCACCATGCCCGGCCAATTTTTGTATTATTACTAAAGATGGGGTTTTACCATGTTGGCCAGGCTTGTCTTGAACTCCTGACCTCAGGTGATTCACCCACCTCTGCCTCCCAAAATGCTGGGATTACAGGCGTGAGCCACAGAGCCCAGCTAGCTAAATAATTTTTATTTATTGTGCCAAAACATGTCAAAATCATAACCTCTTTGAAGGGTATATTTGAGAGGATGTTCATTTCATTGGCTAACCATGAATTACTCTGTCCATGTAGTAAAAACATACACCAGTTTTTTACCTATTATCATGGTAGTATGGCATTGATTTTATTCTTTGAACAACTCTTTACCATGGTGTGTTACTTGACTAGAAGTATAAACAGTTTACTATAAATATCCAAAACCTTAAGATTTGCTCATAGGAAATGAATATTGTGATGAATCCTGGGCTTTAGAGTCAAACTTGCTTGGGTTTAAATTCTTGCTCCAACACTTACTGTTTTTGTAACCTTGAGCAATTTTACTTAATCTCTCTGCGTCTCAGTTTCCTCATCTGTATATTAGGGATGATAATACTAACTACCTCACAGGATTTTTATGAGGATTAAATAAATGTAACGTTCTTAGAACACTGTCCCAGAATAGGTAGCAATAAATAGAAGATGGTATTATTACTGTATTGCCTTGGAGTATAAATACTGCATTTAAGCGAATGAAAAAATTGTTTTAACCAGATACTGAAGGAAATATTTCATACATTTCTTAATAAGTAATAGTATTTATCGAGTGCCTACTGTATGCTAGGTACTACGCTTAGATAATCTGTATAATGTTAATCCTCAAAATTTGAGATAAGGAAACTGAGCCTTGGGGAATTAAAGTAATTTTGTCACTGTCACAAAGCTAGTAAGTAACAGGTAGGATTTATATTCAAATCCTGTGTGTTCATTTGAACCATATCAGACTTGGGGTTAGTCATTTAGCATTATTTCCATTTTTATTTATATGATATGTGACATCTGATACATTGGCCAGTAATAGTCAAATCAACACAGTGAAAATGTCATAATGATTATTAAACTTTGGTTCTTACACTTGCCTAGGGCGTTGTTAAAATGCAGATCTGAAGACCCCAATCTCAGAAATTTTAATTTAACCATGGTGTGGTCCCAACAAATACCATCAACATCACCTGGGAACTTGTTGGAAATGCAGCCTCTGTCAGGGCCCCATCTCAAATCTACTAAATCAGATACTCTAGGAGCAGCGGCAGGGACTAGCAGTTGTGTTTAAGCAAACTGCAGGTGTCTTTCTCATCCTGGTTTGAGAACCACTGCCCAACAACCTACATGATTTTGGTGCAAACAGTATTTGAAACACACTGAAGATTACCGCCCCATTACTAAGACATTTTTCAAAAAGAATGTTTTAAATCAGTGTAGTCCAGGATCATACTATATTAAATATAAAATAAAGATAATTTAAATGGTCATTGAATCATTCATTTTGGTCAAATTTTAACTTCTCCAAAGTGACTAATATCAGGGCCTACAATAAAATCCAAGTTTAGCAATTTTATATTGAGGCAGGAAGGGTTTATTAAGTACTAATAAGTACTTCATAGAGCACATAAAGCCAGACTTCATGATGATGATGTATTCACTGTCTTTTAGATTAGGATCTTGGTTATTTGGATAAATGATTTTAGTATGGTTTCAAAACATAAGGCTTTTGATGTCTTATGTTCTCTAATAATGGTTTGCTTGTATGTTCTAGTGGAAAGTTCATAGATAAAGCAGATTTTTGTCCCAGTTTGTTTTCAAATACCGTAAATTTCAGAGGAGTTTTTCTTACTGTAATGAGATATGAAAATAAATCACTGATCAGCTTTTAATATTTTTTTAATGTGAAATTGGATTTGAGCATTACATTTGCTAACTGGTTATTTTCACATTTTTTCTTGAATATTAATTTTTCACTGCTTTGAGACTGTCAAATTATGGTTATTACAGGTTGATGCACTATTGTACTTGAAAGAATCCCTTGACTAATTAAATTATATCTAGCATCTTAATTTGCCATTTAAATTTTCAGTTCATTAGACTATTATTCTTTGACAGTTTCTGCTTTGTATTTATTGCCTTTTTTATTTGCTTTATTACTAACTTCCATTTTCTAGTTACTCTTAAATGTTGCCTTCACAGGGTTAATTTGGCTGTTAATAGTGATTAGAATTTTTATTACTTAGTTGATAATTTTATACCTACTAAGTTTCCCAATGAGATTGAAAGTAAAAGTCTGTCTAAGAATAATGCCTGCTGGCTCTCAAGATACTTGCCCTGCTTAAAAATTCATAATTTTAAAGTAATTCTACATCTATAATTATTAAAGGAAGTAAAGTTATTTGGATTCTTCTACTCACCCTTTTCTCAAAAACAAAAAAAAAAAAACATTTATTTTTCTACTGTATAGTAGGCCTGACAGAAACATACTAAAGCAATCTGGGAGACAACCTGTGGTAGACTTTATGCTAAATGTTAATGTTACCTCTGTTGATTAAAAAAAAAAAAAGTGTTTATATATAAGAGTTGAAATAAAAATTTTAACACAGGCTGAACTAAAGAATTGTACAAATTCTCTGTAGAGAAACCAACTCTAAAGTTTTAGAGTTGAATTGTGCTCTGTTTCATGCCCTTACCTCTCTAGTTTTCAGTTTATGTTAGTTAAGTTTTAATAACTTTGCAGGGCCCTGCAAATTAATAATCTACATGAAGTATATTATTAGAGGGAAACTAATCTTACTGCTAAGCAGTGTGCTGTACTAGTGAATGTTTGTGTTTTGGAATTTAAAAATTATTTAAGGTAATGGTGTTATGAATGGTTTAAATATGTCTGGTGACTTGCTTATTTTAAGTCATCACCATTAAGTCAGAAAAATGTATTTTTTAATGTTTCTTAAAGTGCCTTTTGAACATTTTTAAACAGCAGATTTAAATAATGCATAAAATAAATTGCCATGTTCAAAGTTGTTTCATCTGATTATTTTTGACCAATATAAAAGTTGTGAGGTAAATGTTATCTTTTATGGGTAGTTGTGGGGTTATTTTTCTAAGTTTTACTGCAATATATATTATTTACTTTATTCCACCTCTGACTGAGAATAATATACCTTAAAAAAATTAGAAACATTGTGTAGTCCAGGTAAGTGTATCTGGATGGGTAGGGGTGCGGGTGGGGGAAATCTCATATATATTTAGAGAGAAACTGCTTCTCTGTTCCTTGGTGTATTTTGATCTGTTGAATACACTGATAAATTATTCAGCAAATAAGTGTGCCAAGCATCTGCTAGAAATACAGTGGTGAACAAGACATAGAGGAGGTCTGTTTTCATTTAGCCTTAACTTTAGAGTTAGAAATAAGCTAGTAGATGGATAAACAAGGTATTTCAGAGAGTGGTATTAGGAAAATAAAAATATCCGAACAGTTTTCTGGATGACATATTAAGGAAGACTAGGAAGTAACATTTGAGCAGAGACTTGAATTTTGAATGACAGACATTTTATATACTTCAGAAGTTACTTTTATCTGTGAAATTATTTGTTCCTACTATGTAAAAACAAAAAAAGTTTCCACCCTTAATCATGCCGTGGGTATCTGTGAAAGCTGACTGAAATGTAATCTATATGCTAAAAAACTGTGTTTTTGAGCATACTTCATCCAGAGCTCTGGTCTATTGATAGTAGGTTTGTCTGGGAGTTTCAGGGTATGAATAAAAATAGACCTAGTCTTTTATTTCTTTCTAGGCAAACAATTACAAATTCCATAAGGCCCTTGAGTCTAGCCTATTTGCCTTGATTTTTCAGTAATCTGCTACCCAATATGTTATTTATTAGCATGTATGTGTGCACACAAGCATGCATACACAGTTATTTGGATTAGACAGCTTTAGAAAAGCTGAGGAGATAAATACCACTTCACACTACTTTAGTAGTAGGGTTGTATAATTTAATATATTC